AATAATAATTTAATATAAAATCTAATAATTTAATTATAATGTGATACAAGATTCAATTATAATCTCACACATTATTTTTTTTTGATAGAAAATAGAGAATTATATTAAATATAAAGAGATTACAGATGAAATCTCTAGCAAGGCATTATAGCCATATTAAGGACAGAAGCATAACCTACAGCATAGTAACAGATTTAAACTGTGCCCATGACATATCTAGACAATTAAGCGAGGATGGCCATTTGCAACTAAAGATTGTAACTACAATCGCTGTATGGGCAAAAATAGGGCTACAAAAGTAGAAAAGGAGGTCGCTATGAGTGTCGGAAACTACTGAACGTCCTCACCTATTTAGCCAGCTTCACAGAGCAGGGAAATTTCGACATCAGCAGTCCCCAACCCAGTACATGTCGTCCCTAAAACAGTTTCAATCAAATAGGAGGGCCATGATCAACCCAGGCACCTCTCTTGTCGCCCCGGGCTCCCAACCATGCCCTAACTATTCCAATCCTTTGCAAGCCCTTGTTGCCAAATTTCAATAAGGGAACTAGAGCCCTTTTTAAGACTGAAGCAGCATTCTTCCCCGTAGCGACTGTACCAACCTCATCCTTTTCCTTTGGCTTACGACCGAAAAACCCAATCAGCCTCCAATGCCTACCACTCGGATATCCTAGATCTAAGCAAAACAGAGGCATCGCAATAGTGGATTGCATTGTTTCAAAGGGGAATATGATGCTCAGCATGTGCAGGAACCAAAGCTCTTCTAGATCTGGAAAACACAGGGTCCACCCACAAAACGAGCCGCCTGCTGCACCTAGACGAGCCGCCTGCTGCATCACACCCCTGCCCTTGAAGCGCCCCAAGCCTGCGCCATTGCCCATGCCCACACTCGCGCCCCGCGCGCACGCCCTGCACCAGCCTTGCTCTACACCAGGTCCCTTCACTGCCTGCGCCCCGATCTCTACTCTGCGCCAAGATCCAAGAAGGGGATAGGGAAATCGAAACAAAGGATAAGAAGTAGAGGAAGAGGGGCCCTGATAACAAAGGATAATCTCACACATTATTAAAAGTGGATCTGCATATCAATTTACACAATAAGTCCAGGCGAATGGGAAAGGATTAGATTTTTTCCTCTAGAAACCTAGGGTTTCCTAGAGGGTTCGCTTGCAGGCGTTTAGTCCCGTTTTGAGGGTTGTCCCTAGTTTCTGGGTTTGTTTCGTATTGAGACAGTTACTCCTTTTTCTCTTTCGCTCGTGCTGTGGCTTCTGATTGTAATCATAAAGCCTTTTCTTGGCACATTTATGCCCTAGGATAGCAGGATGGCCTATTTTGAAGGGTAAAAGAGGGTAGCTTCGGCGGTTGTACGCAGACATTTTTATTTCTTTGTACAAGTGCATAGGGGTGGACAAAAACTGGTTTCAGGTTAAACTGGAACCAGTTTCAAATTAACCAAAATTTTTTCCCTCAATTTTAAGAACCAAAACCAAACCAAACTTCTCTTTTTTGGTTTGGTTACTAATAAAATCAGTTATTTTATATTCGGTTTTCGTTTTCACCGAACAAACATTAAACCATTTTTTTCCCCAAATAACAGATTATATTTCATTCCATATTTAGCCAAAGTTTAGCATTTTTTACATAATAACATGAAAATATCAAAACAGATGAAAAGCATACATGCTGTAATTTTTAAATTCATGAAAGTCAAAATTCATTCATAAATAATTCCAACATACCATGCAAAATACTAGAAGTCTAGAACCTAATATTACATTCATTCCATCCTCCAAGATTGAAGATTATATTGACTAGGCAAAGGTAATAGCAAAATGTTATAGAACTTGCAACCATAGTTTTCAACTCATCAACAATCTAGAGTGATGGATGACCACACCAAGCTAATTACACTATTTATCAAATAACAATTATAAAGTATGCATCCACTGTCAGTCTATCAAAAAAAAGAAATGAGATGCAACTTCCACTGTACATTTTGTCATTTGTGCATTTTTCTGTTATGTAAGCAAAGGCATATGTGAATGTGAGGCTATCTAAACAATGTAGCAACTTGAGCAAGTTAAAGTTGTGCAAAAGACTATGCAAATCTCCAAGTGAATGAAATTGTCCAAAAAAGTCAAAAAACTTCAAAACTTTGATTCTTTACAGTTACAATATTGGTGATTGATCTGTGATATACTGATATAAACAAAAAAATCCCAAAAAAACCTCCACCATATATATATGAGAATCTATTTGTTGGACAAAGAAGAAAACAAATTATGAGGTTAATATAAGCAAAGGCATATAAATCCAACAATTGTAAGAAAAAAATAATCTAGCAATTATAAGAAAAAATTAATATGTTGCCCATATGAACCTAACAATCCAGCAATTATAAGAATAAAACAACCTAGAAATTATAAGAATAAAACAATTTAGCAATTAAGAAAAAAAAATCCAACAATTATAAGACTAAAACAATCCAACAATTACGAAAAATACAATCCAACAATTAAGAAAAATACAATCTAGCAATTAAGAAAAATCAATCCAGTAATTAAGAAAAAAAACAATCCAACAATTATAAGACTAAAACAATCCAACAATTAAGAAAAAATTAATCAAGCAATTAAGAAAAAAAAAAATCCAACAATTACAAGAAAAAAACAATCTAACAATTAAGAAAAAAAACAATCCAGAAATTATAAGAAAAAAAGTAATATGCTACCTAGTGCCTAGTTAATTCCAATATAATGAAGCTAGTTAAAAACGAGTGGGATTACTTTACTGACTACCTTAACACTAAAGACCAAACCTTCAAGCCATTCATTCTAGAATGGCAGAATCCATGTGGACTTTGTCAAATTCTACAAACATTAGAAGAGCAAGGTCAATTGATGTTTAAAATGTTAAATGAAATAAAAGAAATTAGTGTTACAAGATCATACCTTTCTCGAGACTGTCCAGAAGATCCAAGTCTTCCTCTTCAAAAACTATTTTTGACTTATTTCGTAACTAGTCTTGGGCACAAATAAGGGCTTGTGCCACTCTTGGGGTTAGAGATGATCTAAAAGCATCAAGAACTCTCCATCTCGTGCTAAAAGCCAACTCAGAAGCAACAATTGAAATAAAAAAAGCCATAACATCTATAGCCATTGCTGCCAAGGCAAGGAACCTTGGAGCATTCAACTTCAACCATCCAAGTAAGTTAAAATCATCATTATCATCCTCAACATCCTCTCCCAAATACTTATCTAGCTCAATTTTTTTTTTAACATGAGCCCATTCTAAATTTTAAACCTCTTGTAAGCAGACTTAAGTAGTTGCCTACTCTTATACTTGGGCTCACTCTCATTAAGGGCATCACTAGTATTAGTACTACCTTCATGAACTACAATTTGATCTTGTCCACCACCAAAAATTGTTTTCTTATACTCAGCAAACAACCTCTTCAATTCAAAACAAACCATTTTACCATATTACATTCCTTGCTCTTTACCATACACCTTCATCAATAAAATTCAAGAAACCCTAATCTGTTCCTTAGATCAAGGACTATAGCATGGAAAATGTCTTTGATAATCTCTGTAGGAGTATCCCAATACTTGTGAAACTTTACCCTCATTGATTTTGCCATGTCTCTCACATCCACATCTTTTTCACAAGATTTAAGCAAACAATCAACCTTAAAATTCAATTAGAAGTAAAAATTAATCAATGACATAATATGCTTGCATACACATATATATTTACTAATATATAATTAATTTTAAATCAAACTTAAAAGATGACAAGGCATTTGTAAGTTCAAGAAACAAACCTCATTGATTTCTGGGAATAAAAGGTTGTTGGTAGTATATAAATTCCCAAAAATCTTCTTAGTTAAGTAGTAGAAGTGCTCCAAGAACCAAACCATCCTTTTCATTTTTTCCCGATCAATACAGAATGGAAAACTAGGTGCATTTGGTCCATAATTCAATTTAGCCTCATGTCTTTGTCACTTCTAGCATATCTTTAAAAAATAGAGCAAATTATTCACAATTCTTAAACAAAAATATAAATAAACTCAACCAAACTAAAAGAACCAAAACAAAACTTAAGACAAGAAATTATACCTCTCAAATGCCATCTTATATTTTTCTATAGTGTCTAGCATCAAATACAATGAATTCCACCTTGTGGGAACATCCAAGCGAAGCCTTTTTTTTTTTTTTTTAATCTTAATGTGCTTTGTCTTACATATTTTACAATAGCTCTAACAA